GGGAATACTACTTAATGATGGTCACCTCAGGTTTGACGTACGTGTGAAGAAATTTTTGGCAGAATAAGAAAGTTATATGGAAATCCATGATGTTCAATCACTTTTGACACACGGAATAATTTCTTGGAATGACCTGCAACAACTTTAAAATACTAAATAGCCCAAAAGTGGATTGATGGAATATAAAAAAGATTCCCGATAATCCTCAGAGTTTTAACATACCGAGGGGGGTGTCTCTTTGATGTTTGGAAAATGTATTGCCAATCGATATTACTGGAAAAAAATAAATAGAAATACGCAAATTTTGATGTAGAACACCTTGTATAAATTGTATACATTGTAGTAGATATTAATTCTTGGAAAAAAAGTTTTTGCATAGATATAACTTTCAGACAGTAATTGGAAGAAAAGCTCTTTCGAAACATATACATTTATATGAACTGAATTACTCGTAAACCTAAAAAACTTTTCTCTTTTGAGTTTGTATTCCAAACATCTGTTTTGGAATTGAATCAGACATAATTCTCAAGATTGCTACACAATATAGTAAATGAAAGAGGTGAAATTTCACTTACATGGAACACTGTCACTGGTGGACATTCGATGTTTCGGCTAAACACACTTGCCTTATTGCCTCTTCAGCACCAAATCTGGATAACGCTCTAAAATGAAGCACTTAATTCATTCATAAAATTACGACCTTATTTTACGAATGATTCTAATCTACTCATGTCATCAATGATAGTATGTAATGACATTCATTCGCTTATTTTATTAAATCCAAGCCATAACCTTATTTAAATTGAAAGGGGTATACTTTTGAAGAATTAATATATATTTTAGAGAATTAATTTTGGGAAAGAAAGGTATTCTCCTTCTATTTCTTCATCTTTATACAAGAAAATGTGAGAATCTGCCAAAGATGTGTAGATCATGAGAAGAAGATTCCCAAAACCTTTTTTTCCCAAACAACACCTTCAAGAAAAAATCAAATTATAGGAAAAATATTGTTTGAGTCAAAATTATATGATTTCTCTAGTAACGACATGGAAACTATACCTGAAAAAAACAAAAATTAAAAAATTTATTTGTACTCAGGACAGCTTATACATTCATCAAGCTATCGACTTCAAAAATAATCAACAATGAAGAAATGAAATGTTAAGAGAAATTTCATTTATCGAAAATTAAATATTTGTGAAAAATTTCAGAAAATCTGTTCAACTTGAGGAAATTCGTAACTAGTAATACAGCAAACAATAATTTTCTGTCGAATAGCCCAAATTGTCTCAACAAAAAGAAAAACCCCAGACTTTTTCTAAAAGTTTTGAATTAACGAGATTGAATTTTCACCAACTTTTCAGTTCTCATTAACACTGTATCATGTCATTACTTTTTCAAAAATTGTCCTTGAAAAACCATCCTGCTATTTCATCCATTCGAACGATTTCGGTCTAATTTGCAGACAGCAAAATGAAACCTAATCAAATTACCCATGCAAACAAAATCGATTACACATTCATATTGAGGTACCATCTGCTCACAACCATCATCAAAAAGTGATGAAACATTTGAAGCGTTGTACCACCCCAGATAACGACCCAACGCAGCTGAAATGAGTCTGATGCGGTGTGGGCCGAAAACATCGGGCTAATTTAATTCAACGTGTGGCTTACCGTTTTTTCATAGTTAATTACGATATTCATCATCACCTGCAGATATGGCTATGACAGTCAAAATAATATTTATAGACGTGGAAATTACTGACCTGAACTGTGTAAAAATAACCTCAGAAAATAATAAGACAACCTTATCATCGAAATATACGAGTTCTTAGTGACATACCTGTTTATTGTTTTTTAAATTCTCTGATCATTGAACAATATTCTGCAAAGAGCCAGGACAAGTGGCGTCGAGTTGAGTAGCTTGTCGACATAAGAAAATGACTTATTTTGTCTTGTCTCCAGGGAAATTTTTCCTCTCGTTTTGAGAATAATATAGTTTCTGTCGATCTTTTCTTGACTTCTCTCGGAATCTATTGACAAAACACCTTCCTCAGAATGAAGAGTTTGCAGTAACCAATACGCGTTGCACTTATTAGTAAGAAGTTTTCTGCGGGAACTGAAGTTTCTCATGGAAATAATGCATGCTTTATTGTCTGTCACTCTCGTATAAAACAGATAACTATTCGATATCTTTTATTACAGTTCATACCAATTTTTGATAGAAAAGATATGTATGTGTTCAATACATGTCAATACAAAACATGGTGGCAGATATTTTCTAGAAGTCACTCAGCAGCCCTACTTTAACGAAGCATTTCCAGTCATAAAGATTTTTTAATAATCCAGAGGGTGTTGGAGGGACATCAAGCAAGGTGAATCACTAACATAAATTATTGGGATTTTTCAATATTGAAAGTTGAATAAATATAATAGAACTGACAGAAATTTAATGAAAATATGAAGATATTTATATCGTTTTTATTTATTTTGGATCATTTTTTAAAGAAAGCATGAGGATAATACATACTCCACACATATTCTTCAAGGTACTGAATCTCTGCAGGAAATCATTTTATGTTAAATTTATTTGGTGGATGAAATCCTCGTCTATACTTGAATCCTTGACGAATCGACTTTTGGGAGATTGTGGTAGACTGATTGTTTATAACAGCTGCACTTCCAAGATGACTGCCTTGGTCTTTGGTAGACTGTGAAATGGTTTATAATGAACGGTGGAACTGATGAAACCAATTTTGTTTCGATTTGTGTCCATGCACTTCAGACCAGAACTAAAACAACTTCACATCATTATACCATTGTCGACAATAATTCATTAGGCGATAACATAGTAACTCATTTGATACTATCAATTAGTAGACATGATTACAATTATTTTTTTAACTTTCAGAGATTCCTTCAATTTGAATTGTAAAACGAAGAATTTTTGCAAAATGCATGCAGAGAGAATATGAAATATAGCGAATGTAGGTAGAAAATAGGCATATGTCGAACTATTCTTTTAAACATCTGCCATTCAATTAGCCGATGCTCATATTATTTTCGGTATAACACGCCACGTATAATCAGATATTCCAATCAGGAGGGGATCTGCCTTGCATTTTTTTAGAAATGTTTGATGTACGGCACAAGAGTAGGCGGAGATGTCATCCAGAAGTAATTTGTGGGAGTGCAGAGTATCTGCACAAGATCAGTTGGTCACATTTGCATTATTTAATTGTAGGGTCGAATTTGAATGAACAAAAATTAATGCAATGAGGGTTGATAGAGGAAGATAATAATTTATAAAATATATGTCAACTATGTACATTCGGACAAAATTTGGTCACACATTATATACTAATTCTCTGCTACAGATTTCCATACTTTTAATTTAGTCAAATTGTTAATGAAATTCAGATGAACTGAGATTTTAAAAGCTGGGTCATGAATACAATGATTCAACTCAACAGCACAGAAAAATATTATCAAGAACATAACTGCTCATTAGAGTACCGAATGGGATATTCAAAACGAAAGAATTAGGTGTGCCATCAAAATGGAGTGGAGGGAGGAAGGTGGAGACATTCTTCCTTTACTACGAAATGTTTCTGAAATCATAAGTACTTCAGAACTGTAGAGATTAATCAAAGTCAGTTTCAATCTTAGATATATTCCAAAGACACTGGAGGAAACTGTAAATTCCTACATAAAAATTGAATCTGTATAAGATAAACTGCTTTACAAGAAACATTTTGTCTATCGATATTTTATAATGCTTCATTGAAGGTATCAAATACTGTCAGCAAAAAATACTACTCCTTTTTCTGAAAGGCCTAAATATGCACTCTTTTAATATTTTTCAATTACATAAACAGCATTATCTTCTAAGACACAGGGACAACATGGAAAGGCGGCAAAAACTCCCAGTCCTACCATATTTTGGGCAGATCTGTATACTAGAGAGAAAGGTGCTGGTGCATGGGTAACTCAAAAGAGACAAATACATTTTTATTGGCTGTGTGGAATTGGCCGCGGTGGTAGTGCGCCCGACTCACGATCGGAAGACCGTGGGTTCGATTCCCTTTTTGGCGGAGGATCCTACACGCCAACCAGTTTGAAAGTTTTCGTATTGGCGAATTCGCCATTTGCAAAGTATTGTTCGAAATTATGGCGAAGGTAATGGGTTAAGATTGCATCTGTTCATAATTGTTTGTATGTAAATATTTCACCTTCACCAATTTGAAGACAAATTGGTTCCAGAGATAATTACGAAACTTGATAATTCTATTGGAAAATCGTAATCATCACATGAAAAAAATGATTGGAAAATTTCTATAATATATGAAACAAATTCTCAAAATGTGTTAGTTGCACCATCCACAACTCAAGGAAGACTGGACGATTTTCATAATTTTTGATTTAATAAAGTTTTAGCAGTTGGATAATAGCAGAATGATTATTGAAACAATTGTCATGGTGGACACAACCACAATTTAAATTATGACATTTGTGATTGTTCGAGCAAAATTAATTGTTAAATCATAATAAAAGAAAATTCAGTAATATCCATCACGATATTATTCACAATGCTAGGAGCGAGAAAATGGAACATTTCACGACAAAGCCGTATTGCAATTTGACGATGGAATATTGCGAATCAATCCACTGCAAATGAAAAAGAAATCACACGAGAGGAGTATCGTGTTCAGTGTTGCCAGGTTTCCCATTTCTGCACTAGATCTCCTGTTTTGGCTGTCGGAATACAATTGTACTGTTCGAAAGTTGAAAATCTACTTTCGACTCAGTTTACCTTCTATAATGATGATTTACTGTGGATAGTATAGATTACCGTGAATGTATACTACTTTCATATAAAATATATTTCACACAATTTTTGTATAGATCTCTTGTTTTTGTGACACAAAATCTACTTCTTAGCATGAAAATAACCTGGCAACACTGACCCGGCTACGTGCTTCACAAATGCAATAGAAAAAGAGTACAAAAACTTACTATATTTGATAATTCTGAGGAGGTACGGAATTTTCCGTGTCAGATACTTACTTATATTTTATAGTCACCGGAAATCCGACATACAAGTATGAAGTTTGGTAGAAAACATTCATTTTAACAATGAGTGCATGTTTGAAACAACAGTTTTATCATTAATATCAATATAACACAATGTGGTCACATTAAAGCAACAATTTTATAAAAATCAATACAATAAATATGAATATCACAAATCAGCTAGTTTATAAATAATATATTTACATTTCTCAAACTCTTTTACCGTCTCCATCCTCACATACCGATGCAGTCATTTTGTCCTAAAAATATAAAACAAACCCCTTTATCTGTTCTAGTTCATAGTAAGAAGATCTTTGGTAGTGCAGAGATCTAATACCTCAAGGAATATCACTGGATTCATTCCTACCACTTTTCCTTCTTCGTTTCTTCGTTGATATCAAGACGTAAACTAATGTGATGATGGAGCTGATGAACATAACCAGAGCAAGAGCAATTTGCACATACATAAACTTTTCTAGCCGTTTTTCCATCTCCCGTACAACATCTGAAAACGTGTAGTACTTGTAAATATTTATCTATGATGAAATGATTTTTTTGTGATGAAATCTGGGATGATGCCCTTATTCGTTGACAACCTTATTTTTTCTACGACTTCAGTGAAATGAAATTTCACTTGATCTTGTTGAAAGTATCAGTATGTACTGATTTATAGTATACACTTTGATATATTTTTTTATCAAAGTCAATGTTGATTTGGAAAGTTGTTGTTGTTTTAAAATTTCCAGAAATTGAAAATAAACGTTGAAAGAAAACAGAAATGGTTTATAAATGTTTTTCGGACTTGTCTGATGTTTATAAACCTAACAGATAACAAGATATTAATCGCGGTCTGTAGGTGAGCCACTTGAATTATTCAGCATGGTCCTGCTGCTGGATGAACGAGAAACATCTGCGAGACTAACATCTGTGAGTTATTTGCATGAATGTCTTTCGAATATAATTCAATATCCAGCGTGGTAATATTCGGAGAAGTAGATGTTTCTCGGTGGACATTTATCAGAACCTTCTGTGTAGGTTGTTGGGAGACATGAATGTTTCGAACTATTCATTTTCTTGTACTATTCAGTCTATGGAATAAAAAACAGAATCTACAGACTGAAAATTCATGAAAAGACTGGTATATACGGAAGCGCAGAAGAAATACATATTTTCATTAATTGTTTTTGGAAATTGTGACTTTAAACTTGAATTTGCGACTTTAATTTTGAATCGTAATTTTGATTTAAAGAATAAAGTCGAAATTTCGAGATTAAAGTAGAGATTTCCAGATTACAGTTGAAATTTCGAATTTAAAGTCAAAATTGAAGTATAAATTTAGAGTTTTAATGTCTTAATTTCTAAGAAACAAATAATAAAAATGTGTAGCCCTTCTGAGCTTTCGTAACTATACAAGGCAAAACCTGACTCTTGTAAAAAATATGTTCGTTTGAAGGTGGTTGACAATGTGACTTTCATTCGTTCGGACTTCCATTGCCCAATATGATATAATATGATTTGAAATCCCTGAAAAAACAAATAAAATTGAATTGTAATAAGCAAAAATCCTGAATTGAAATTACAATAAAATAAAAAGCAAAAAAATTGAAAGTTTAACAATTGAAAGCAAAGTTACTTCACGACGTTTCGACTGTTAGTATCCACAATCGTCTTCGATTGATGATTCGACTATTCCTTCGACATAGATTACTATTTATAAGTCATTCGAGCGCTTTCACCTATCCCCTCACCGTTTCACTGGTTTAGCATGAGTTGACCGTTTTCTACTTGATTATGAGTTTCCATATGTTGCGTATCTCTACGCTAGCTTGGCTGAATGCGTCGTTGGACAACTTATATGCAGCTTCTTTGAACTTCCTCTTGAACCAGTGTTTTTCTCTGTGGATGATCTCGCTTGGAACCAAGTTATGTTATGTTGATGAGTCCAAACATGCTCTTCTATTCCCTCTTTGCTGGTTTCTCTTCGCTGTTTGCTTCTCTTGTGTTTGGTAACGCTGAATTCCAATGGCCTCTTAGTTTCACCGTACTTAGAGGGTATTCGGTAGATGCGCAGACCGCGTTTGGTGGTCTGGTTTTCGTGAGGCTGCTACGGATAGTGTAACCGGATCTGAAGCAGGTTCTGATGTTGTACTTGGAACCAATTCTTCTTATCCTCTCCGATAATCCTCTGATGAAGGGAAGTACAAGCACTGGTTGTGACGGCTTCTCTTCCTTGCGAGGCTCCTGCTGTCTTTTAGCCAAGGTCTTTTCTACCATCGCTTTTGAGTAACTGTTCCGTTGAAGATCATTTTTGATGATTTCTAGTTATTTCTCGAGACCTTCCTTCGTATTACAGAGCCCAAAAGCACGGTCTAATAGAGTCTTGATGATTCCTCTTTTAGTCGATTGATGGAGGTTGGATTCGTAGTTCAGATACTGTCCCGTGTGAGTTCGGTATACAGATGTTTTCCATTTAGTGTCGGTCCTCTCCACCAATACTTATGAAGAATGGCAATTCGTTGTAGACTTTCTTCTCCATTGTGGAGGTGATGGATGGTCTTACGCTGTTGATATACTTCAGAAAGGTATCTGGTTCTGTATTCCCATGGTTCCATATTATGAAGGTGTCGCCAACGTATCTCAACCAGACTCGGGGCTTCTTATGGGCTTTTTCAATGGCCAGAGTTTCAAACCACTCCGTATATATGTTAGCTATAACTGGTGAAAGTGGAGATCCCATTGGCAGTCTTTCATCTTGCGTAAAGAACTCGTCCTTCAGTTGGAAATAGCAGTTCCCTAAACATCATCCTAGTGATTCCATGATTACTTCAATAGGTTAGTTCGTCTATCTTAGCTTGAGATCTTTCAATTGATTATTTTTATTTTATTGTGATTTCATTCAAAAATTTTTTAATTTATGTAATTATTTGTTCTTTCAGGGATTTCAGACCATATTATATCATATTGGTGATGGAAGTCCGAACTGAAGAAATAGAAAAAATATATTGTGAACTTTATTTTGCGAAGGAATTGTAATATTTGATATTTTTCTGGGGATTCATAACTTTCTCAATGAAGTTGTTAGTTCTGTCAATAACCCTGAAAAATTGCAAAAAATATTAATGACAAATTAATTACCTTCAATTTCTTTTTTAACAACTTGTGCTTCCGCAATGTTCAAGTCCACAGACATCACTGTAGTGGAATCTTTGTAGGTGTGAGCTTCGTCAAGAATAGCATTAGTTTCACGTTCTTTCGATTCAGATGGATAACTGTCGAGGAAGCTTGATCTCAAAGAAATTTTTGGAGGGCTATTTTTTTCTCCTGGAACTGCGGATTCAGCTGGATAACTATCAGGAAAACTTGATTTCAGCGTTATTTTCGGTGTATTATTTTTTCCATTCGAACCCACTGATTTAGACCGAATGTCATTACTGGTTTTACTTTGAGATATTTCTTCAGTGCGTTTATTTCTAGCAAATGTATTATAATTATTTTCAGGAACGGCGTTAATGTTAGTTTCGGTATCCATTTCAGGATGTAAATCGCCAAATTTAGTACTGAGAAGAAAATCGTGAAATGGTTTCTTTTTCTGGGATAATTGTCTATCAAGATCACCAATAACAATCTCCAGATTTGTATCCAAATTCTTCTTCTGAAGATTGGATGCTTCGCCCTTTTTCCTGTAATCTTTTGATTTTTCGTTGACCAACATTTTTTTATTGACAGGATTCCCTGGTGATGCATAATTTTGAATATCCGATGGTATGATATTTGTGTCATACTGAAACAAAAATTGTTGAAATGCCTGTTTTAAATTGCATGCTGAATCTAGGTATTTGGAACCGTTTTGAAAATAATCATGAGGAAACATTTGAAATTGAAAGCATATTTACCTACCTCAAATTTCACCTGAACCTGAATGTTCAATTCATTTCCAATAATCTTCCTTTTGATGTCCTTTGAAGCTGGTCCTGAGGAAGCCAAATCTTCACCCTCATTACCTTGTATTGTTTTTATTTCACTTCCATCTCTGGTAGCTAAATTATTATCGTATAGATTTCCTACTCCTTCGTGTACCGTATTTCTTGACGTCTCATGAAAACCATTGGCTTTCTCAATTTCTTTTTCTTTACTCGAATTCAAAGCGGAAAATATTATTTTTCTGATAAATGATATGTTGGGCTCTTCTGACCTCATAACTCCATTTGAGACTCCCTCTCTTCCGTCACCATTCAACAAATTTGAAGAATCGACAATGGGATATAAGTTATTCTCAACTTCTACATTTGCTGTACTCCTATTTTGAGAATTAGGAGACCTAATATACTCAATTACATAATTTGATACGTCCCTCCCAGTGTCGATGGTTGAATAACCTGATGAAGAATAACAATAATTATGATTTTGGCTAAAAATTGTTGAAAGAATGAAAATGACAAATATCACTCAAAAACTACCTAACACATCGGTGTGGATATTGAGCTGAAATTCATTGGAAATTAAAAGACGAGAAGGTTGAAACTGATTTTCCTTTTAACCAGCGCGCAGCCACTTGTGCGGACAAATGATTAACGAGGTCTTACCTTTCAAGCTGCGATTCCGCACTTCAAAAAGTATATCTTTTAAAATATTTTATGTTACTTAATAGAGGGAACTGATAGTTTTGATGATTTATCTTTTCACCAATACTACCAATGCTAAATAATCAACTATAATTTCAATGTTATGAAGAACCGAATGAGTTTTATAGGTAAGACTGAGTAGTTTTTATTATTACCTAAGTCGACCTGTAAGTTAGTATCATATTATTTTAATTTGGACAAATCTTAAAATCAATTTTGAACTAGTTATCCTCGCCCGAATAGACTAAAATTCCACACACACGTTTAAACACAAAATGGCGACTTATCATTCCAATGGTTAACCCTTATGATATGGATATAATAAAATGCTTACTATGAACAAAATGACGTTATTTTAAATCCCATATAGTGAACGGTCTCTTATTAAGGAACTAAATCTCAAAACTTGCAGGAAAAAGACCTTGCTATGAAGCATTACTAGAAATGGATAAGACAGAAACTGAGGAGTGTAAAATACGAATATCAAAACTAGGAATCTAAAAAACAAGTTTTATTGAAGCGTTATAAGCCAATGAACTCAAACATTGAAATAAGTTTCAGTAGGAATAGAAAATGTAGTCTAGTGAGAGTAAATTATACCTACCTCATTGATTATAATTTATTATTGCGAAAATTACGACAAAATAAAAACTGTCATACTCAGAAAAATTTTCAAATTAATCCCTGCTTCAAAACAACAAAGAACGTACACAATGCTGCTTGATTTTGTGTTGAATGTGTATTTGTGGAATACACCCGAAAAATATCATTTTTTTCAACAATAAAATATCTTACTTCATTGGAAAATTCCATGAACACTTCGTTATCGCAATAAATCCGTTGAGAATCGAAACGATAGGTCATAATGGCGTATTATTATAACGGACATATAATCACAATAAGTGAGATATTAGGTTCTGTTCAAGGTTTTTGGTTTCAGAATCGTCGAAAGGATGCAGTCTGTGGTTTTCCGTGGATAAGGTGAATGTTTTGAATGTCCGTTATAAAATACTGATTGTTTACTTCGTGCCACGTGTTCAAGTACCTATGAATTTGAGATTATGAAACAGATCGTATTAGTTTATTCTACCTATTGCTAAAAGTAAAAATGGGTCAAATACATTGATGAAATTGAAAAAAAATTGGTATATTTTAACCATTCTCAAGACGTTTTTCATACTTCTAGTTATTCAAATTTTAAAGAAACTAACTAATCAAATATCATGTCATTATCAGAAAATTACTATACCGAGTTTCCAGTCTAGTTTCACTTGATAAATCCACCTTTTTCTAAATTACTGCACAATATATAGTCATCTCTGAATGAAATTTTAAAAAATCAGGAACTTGTCAAAGTTTCTGAAACGACAACATTTTTTTGTAGAGTTCATTTTTGAAATAAATTGCTTTCTTTCTTTCTTTTGAAGATTTCCTTATTTGTATAAAGATAGAGAAGTCGAAAGTCAAAACCTTTCTCTACCAAAAATTAATCTCTCCTAAATAAATTCTTACGATAAAAATATTTGAACTTCTAATCTTTGATCGTGAGTCGGAAACTGCATCATATCATCGCTAATTATAACTTTCATAATTTTATTCAATTAAAAAACTTATCAATTCAACAAGTTACATAATGATCATTTTTTAGCAAATTTGTATACTTGAATAATCTTATCGTGCGAACTTCTAAATTTGAACTATGTAGAACGTTAGATTCACAAAAAAATAGCACATTATATAGTGGGTTCTAAGAGACTGTTGTTACATGTTTAAAATATGTTTTTTCGTTAACCGTTAATCGCATCCCTACGAACGACAACCCTCAGAAGTCGAAACTTGTGCGAGCTAAGAATGAATTTTTGATCTCAAAGGTATCACGAAATATGTTGTGACTGGTCTCAACCGTTTCAGAAAATCTCAGTCAATTCTAAAATAACTCTCTTTTTGTCTTACTGATCACATGATTTAAATTGTGCAAACTTAAGCAAAATATTCGAGAAACACTTAAAAATTGTACACCTTAAAAACAAGGCTACGGATCACCACCTCCATTTCTACCAGATCTGAATCTTATTGACCTCAGATTTTCTCAGCTCAAAATATTAATGATCCGTGACAATATCTCTCAGTTATAAAACGCCTTACAAGATATGGAAGAAGACTTGAGAAAAACACAAATGTCTTCATCCAAACGTTCTAAACCGTTAATTTTTTTTCGATGACAATAGTGACACCCTCAGTTCAATCAAAATAAAATTTATAGTTTTATGTTGAAAATATTATTACTATTTTTGTTGCGAATGTATCAAGACTAATTCTTATGAATATTATATTATCGAAAATTTATCTAGTTGAAGTTGGTTGATTCTGCTACTTTACATTGCTGATAGAACTGCGACTAGGTAGATATTTTTCAACAGTCATTTCACACGTCCTGTTCTATTCAATTTGATAGAGAAACACACTTCGAAATGTCATCCAGACTACCCAGAATTCTATATTCTTTTTGTATAAGCATGATACATCTTCTGGACTTCTCTCACGAAAGTAATCTTCAGAAATATTTTCTTACAATAGCTTTATTGCATATTTTATATTTCATATAAAAGTTTTATATTTTTATTGTTGTATTATATACTGGGTGACAAGAAATTACCATACACGACACCATTCAGTTGTTTCCCGGGTAAAAAATTGAGAACTGAAGTATAGTTCATCAGAGCCGATATTTCTAATTAGAAAACAATTGACAATCTATCTGGGTTCAACCGGAAAAAAACCAAGACAACCCTTATATATTTTTTAACAATTTTATAGAAAATATTACCATCTTTTCAATGATATAACACAAGTTTCCATTTCTCTAGACATTGCAGTTTATTTTTCTGTGAAAAAGTGAGTGAATATCTCATTATGAAATATATAGAGCAACTTTGAGACTTTCACTTTTTCACAGAAACCGACAAACATACTACTTTTTTTTGCGTCCATATCATATGGGTATCAAATATAAGAGTTTGCTGAAAGGAATACGGAAAATAATATGACGGACCGCTCAAGATGGCAGACTAATATATTACGCTTCCCTGTGATATATGTTTCAAATGAAAAGGTTTGCAAGATAGAATACAAAAAATAACATAACTTAATATAACAATATAACAAAACGTTAGTCCAAATACAATATGGCGGACTGCCTAAGATGGCGAAATTGTTATTTTCTATGCACTTCCATGATGTGTGTATTTCACTCCGATAATGATATGGAAATCAAATAGAAAGATCTAACGAGAAAAATTGTAAATTGCGTACAATAAGATGGCCACCATACAATTTCAAAGATTTATAAATCGGCAAAGGATAGAGATAGTTTGGAGGTGCTGGAACAGATGTTGTAAAGTTTGACTATACAACAATGATGCTTTAAATAATATGTACAGACTGAAGAATATGTCCAGCAACAAGGTTTCATTCACATATTTCAAAAAGTTGAATTTATTTAAATCAAATCAATCAATCCCATCAATTTGATACAATACATAATTATTATAATACAGGGCATTGTCGTGAGATTTATCTGTGTAGATAAACAAAAATACAATCCGTAACTTGATCTTGACATAAATGATTCTGAGAAAAAGTAACATGTTTTTTATAAAACAGATGGATCCCCCGACGATGTTTTATATCAAAAAATTGTATAATGTACTAAATTGAAGGGTTTGAGTCTATTTTATTAACTTGTTTTTGAAATGTTTCCTACAAGGTCTTGATATAATATATATGAATAACAAATATGGATTCATTATTGTTTTCAGAATAATCCATACCATTTTTGACAACATCGAAAAACACGAACACTGTAAACACCCATTTATAACTGCAATGAGCCATATTGGACCGGATTCAACAGCACTTCCTACTTTTAAAAATGTCGTTAACGGAATGAACTGGAAGTTGTTTGGAAGACTGTGGCGTTTGGTGTTGAAATAACGGTTTGGTGTTGGGAAAAACTCCATTAATATTCATTACTATACCGTAGGTTCCAAACTGTGCAGCACATGTATATATGATTTCTGTCAAACAAAATATATTATTTCTGACGCTACAATTATAAATCGTTTCTGTTATAACTCCAGCCTTGTTAATGCCAATCCAATAGTATTATCATAATTTCTCCTCAGACCCAATGACGCAAGAATGACAGCTTTCTGCATTTGTCCGGCAGGCCGGTATGATTTTAAGATTCGAGAATAGAGAGGGCATCATTCCACCAAGGACTGCAATAATCAAAATAACCTTTTCATTATTATTATTATCATCATCATTATTATTCACCGACTCATCGAAGCAGAAGAGTTGAAATTAAAACAGATTCGTTTGTAGAGATTCAGAGATTTAGAGATTAGGTACTTCATTTGTTAAATTGAAGCAAAAGGATGTAAAAAGTTTTACTCCTCCAACCGTTTGGATGAAGCAGATAAAAAATACCGTAGATCATTAAATCGTTTGAATCTTATAAATTGGATCTTGGAGAAAGCCGTGGCTGAAATAGTCCCAAATGTTTTGGCTACAGAATGCTTGTGATTATATCTATAGTTAACCGTGAATCAAGAAGTATAGTTTCACTAATGATGTTTTCCCAGGTTTCTAACATTTGACACCTCTCTGCAACGTCCCATTTTTTTCCTACACCACTTGATATATCAGAATGTTGGGTAGCCATGAAATCACAAACAGATTCATCTTCATATTTAATTTATTGAAAATAAAAACACTTAAACTTATTATATTCTCGATAGAAATTTTCATCTACATGACACTCATAACATTTTATATACACGAAAATTTATTCTAAAAAGGTAACTGCATTGTTTTGCAAGATGGCGACATTACGAAATACCTAAAAGAACAACTTGTAAAATTTGTTATTTGGAAAAATAGATAATTGCTCAATATCAGATCTCGTTCTTTAACAGCTTAGTTGTTTGGTAACATTTCTTCAATCATTGGATTGAAAATGAGCATCAACAGTTGTCGTTGATACTCGTAACAGATGTTTAACGGTACAACCAATCCATTTTTTAAAGTATTCGCTCCAAATTCGCCTTTAACAGAACTGTATACCTTTTGAAATAAATAAATAAACCTTCAATACTATTTTCACAGTCTAGTAGTGACATCTTTATCCTCAACTTCAGGAGTTTTTGGTTTTCGTCTTTTCGATAACAAAATTGAAACAACTGAAATAATCAGAATTACAACAATCACAGCAACAAGAATTATTTCTATGTAGAAAATATGATCCTGCCGTTTCTCCGATGCCTTCTGCAGATCTGGAAAATTAAAGAAAAATCATTGAAATTAGTTTTTCAATTATACAGGGTGTTTTTTAAATATGGTCATTAGTATCAGATGATTCCTTGTGATATTTTATAAAGAAAAATTGATATGAACAAATTATTGAAACTCGTAAGTCGAAAAGAGAATGTAAGTTGATTCTATTGATGTAACCTATACTCCTCTACCAAAATATGATATTCACATATTGGATTGATATTTTCATCCAAAAAACTACTTTCATTCTAACGTAATTTCACAATGTTTAGTAAAAATTTCACATAATAAAGTGTTTTTTGAATACATTAGTTATGAATATTCATCAAATATCGGTTAATTCCATCATATACTTCCATCCTCTTTAATTCTTTTTGAACAAGAACAACATGTCATTTCATATCTGATCGTTATTATTTTGAATAAATATGCTCAATTCGGTATTTTTTCTGTAAACTAAGTCAATTTTTTTCCATAAACGAGTGATATTATTAGTGGTTTCACCAAAATAGGTATTTCTTGAAGTTGGATAGACCTGATTCATATTACTCTGTTACAATTAAAAAAATGTAATACAAAAATATGCAAAATAGATATAGACCATAAATTGAATTGATATCTGAGAATGTACTTGATTGTCTATAAATTGTGAGTTCTTTGAAGAATGTATTCAGGAGAAGTCATATTAATATCATATTTCGCATATATTAAATTGAAGTTACACAATTCAGAATATAATGTCATATCGTGTCTGGAATTTATACAAGCAATATGAATAGTTTCTTTGCAAAAGAGGAAGACATAATATTACTGTCTCATTCTGTCTCATAATGTCTCATTACATAAAACAAATCAGGAAATAATCTACGTGTAACATAGAGTATCACTAATTTTCCTCAGACGGCTTCAAAGTTTTGTATGTGCGAGTTATGAACCGGATACCATATAAAAATACCATACTCGATCTTAAATCTCAAATGAGCATAGGAAAGTTTGATAATTGCCTCAACTTATTTGAACTAATTGGTACTTCTCATAATACAGCCTGACATGATATAAACAAAAAATTTGTATCAAAAACAATTCAGTGATGTTTTTATAGAAGGACAATACATGACATGGTATTATTCAAATGTATGTGATTTTTGGAGCTCTAATTAGACATTTTGTAGAATTATTTTTGTAAGTTTGAGCAATCAATAATAGTTTTGATTATTATTAGTTTAGATCGTCTACATAAAGAAGTTTTCTACAGTTGATAGCATATATGAGATACATAGTAACACGAAATTAGTGGCGTATAAATAATATAGGTTATGTTATAACCTATCATAACACTATCAAAAAGTTTAATGAAGTTTTAACTTTTTTCATGATATTTGAAATTTTTCAAGAAATCTATTCATTTATATATAAAAGACTGATAGCACACACATTGAAAACGATTTAGGAAAAATTATTTTCAATGGCACATCTAAGAAGGAAAAATGAATAAAGAAAGTAGTCGAAGCAACAAAAGGACAAAAAAGATGCAATAAAAAAGTTCAATCATCTTTATGAGATTACGAATAATGTTTGAGTCGGTTCCACATGAAGATTATTAAACTTACTCGAACTATTTTTCTCTTCGACCTGTTTTCTCAAAAAATCTGTATTCGAGAACGTAACCAGTATACCAGAGTCCACAGACAAATCATCTTCTTGCAACTTACCGGCTTCTTTCAGTGTTAAACCAGCTGAAAATAGATGAACATATTAAACTAAATTTAAACTCTCATTCATAAAGACCTACCCTTCAAGAAGTTCAGACTAATTTTATTTATTAGATAACCAAGCGTCGATTCATTAAGCCCCAGGGAAAGAGAGTAGTTGAAGGTATTTTCGGAAGACGGCCAAGTAAAATTGAGCATCAGATGTTTAGGGTCCTCGATGATTGCAACATCGGAAGGCATATAGATGGTTTTATTCTGGAAAATTAAGTAATATATTTTTTTGGGAAAGTTGCTGAAAAATTACATTAATAATAAATTCTCAAGAAGATCCTTATGTATCCAAGTTGCCCAAGTTGCTTTTTTCAGAATAATTATTTCCTGGGTCATTCAAACGATTTCAAAAAATACTCATGGCTAACTATAGAATTTGCGGAAATTCAAGATCAATTTTTTCAAGAATCTTTGAAATGATGTTATGAATATAAAAAGTTGTTCAATTTCACTTTACATTTTTTATGAAAATAACTGTTTGAGAAATGAAGAGATTGTTAGTACAAAATAGTAATCTGACTTCATTACACATGATTGTATCCAATTAAACAAACCAAAATCATTTTTGGAGCAAAACTTTGTGAATGCAGCGTCATGTCTTCCATTCATACTAGGACATTCTATATCATAATAATGAGTGAAATCGAAACATATTCTTACCTGGATTTTTAATTGAACGCTAAAATTGGCGTCATTTTCAAAAATTTTCTTTTTGATATAAGGTACAGCATACTCCTGTTGAACCTCTTCATTTACGTTGGCATATACCGTTTCTTCTTTATTAGCTTGTGTGGTAGATCTAGTCACTGATTCAAATTCAATGGGTTCGAGGAACTCAATCTTTACTACTGTTACATCATCAGTCAGCTCTTCACCTGATACTATAGCTAATTCGTCTTCAGTAACCGTATCCTCAGTAGTTTTCGTCAATGTTACCTCTGAAGATGTACGCACTTTTGATTCCAAAATGTCCGAATTTGTTGATATCGGTTTGATAGTACTGTTTATCATGTTACTTTTCTCCGATGAAGCTGCAGTTGCAGACTCGTTAGTGTTGTTTACAACATGAGATGTTGTTTCTTCAAATTCTTGTTTAATTTGTATTCTGTTTTCAACTGCACTTTTGCTAATGTTATGGTTGAGTTCTTCAGTTTTAGTAAATGCTGATTCGTCATTGATTGTTGATGATACATAGACAGTTTCACTTTCGTCTGTTATCAAACTCCCTCTATTCAGTTCACCATCAGATAACTCTCTCTGCTCAGTAGTGTTTTCTATCAAAGATACCATGTTTAACTCTGTTGAAGAAGATGTTCGAGTGTTTTTGGCTTTTTCAACCTCTTCATTGATTTCACTTGTATAATTAGTTTGAGTTAACTCCCTATTTAGTTCTTCTAACTTTCCACTTTCACTGACCTTTCCTTGATTTTCTGAATTACTCTTATTCAACGTAGATAGTGATTCATTGCGATTTATACCGTCATTAAATTTGGTAGCTATTTTTTCTTCATATGAATGTACCAGTTTAGAAATAGATTCATTTCTGTCAGTAACTGAATCAGTCGCATTAGCTTGAATGTTGGACAATGTTGTCAAATTTGCAGTGTTTTCTTTCAAAGTTACATTGTGTGTTGCACTTGTGGGATTTGTTGAAGAGGATAAAGTGTTCTCAATATATTCGGCGTTGTTCTCCAAAGATACAGTCTGGGATACTCTGCTTATTATACTTTCATTTTCATCACTTTTATTACCACCCTCTTGTAAATCAATGCCTGTCAACTCATCTAGTGGATGATGACCATCTTTACTGTCAGAAAATTTCTTTGATATTGTTTCCAACTGGTGTAATTCACTCTTAGCGGGTTTTTTCTTT